ACTGTTAACGAAGTTCGTTATATAACTCATAAAGATACTTTTCATATTAAATCCAATCACATTTTACCTACTTATATTGAATTCACTCTTAATTTTATTTAATCGTTTATATAATCTTTTCAAAGTTGTTAAAAAAATATATATTTTATTTATAAATAAAAACTGACTAATTGAAGATTTAATTTTTTGATACGATAATGCAAAAATCCAAACTTGAGTAATTTTGTAAATTAATAGTAAAAAAAAAAAAAAAAAAAAAAAAAAAAAAATTTTTGCCTTTTTCTTTGTAATTAAATTATACATAAGAATAAAATTCTTGATAATTATCATTTATATTTATAGTAAAATTTATCGAATAATCATACCTTTTCCTCGTCAACGTAGGAAAAGATAATAAGTTGCTGATATTAATTCTCTGAAGTTTTACCGTTAAATTCGTAAGTTTACACGAATCTTTCTGAAATTTGTATCACAAAACTTTAACACAAGATTGAATTCTTTTGCTTATCTTGTTTTGTCGAGATTCTCCATAGACTCTCTGTGTAACTGTGTCAAAACGTCGAAAGATGTTGTTTTTAGTTATCACACACGATAATATCAGCGTAGGACAATTAACAAAAATTAGTCATTTCATTTTTATTGTGTAACGCTTGAGTAATCTTAACTCGATGATTCTCGAAATTTTCGCATTGTTGCTTCGATTACGAACGCGTATGAAAGAAGACAAAAAGGAAAAGTGGAAACAATCGAATCGAACAATTTGTTCTTCTGATTAAAGAATCGAATACAAATTTCGTGCAAGTAGAAAATTACGAAATAAAACGAGTTCGAGTTAATTGCAAATTTGATCGTTTTTTAATCGAGTGAAAGAGGTATATTTATTGTTTAAATTAAATGTGATTTTTTTTTTTTTTGAGCACGAAATATCGGGAAATCAGAGAGTTAAATTTTCTTTCTAGTTGATCCGAAACTTCGAAAAGGTCAGCGGGATTACCAAAAACATAAATTTAGCATTTGGAAACATCGTAACCGTCCTCTTTTGACGAATGACTATCGTTCAACTGTATATTCGTTCGTCGTTATTTTTAGATGGCCATTTATTTGTTTTAATATAAACACATTGCTGCACTCTTCAAAATATTCACGCAAATAATATTATATCACTTTCTCAATTTTCCTTAAATCTTATGCGCAGAGATGTTACGAATTTTATTGTAAACGGGGGGAAAAAAAAAAAGGAAAAACCAAAACCATATTTCGAGGAAATATTGGAAAATATCGATACGTATAGACGAGCTAGAAAACTCGGTGCTCGTTAAAACGGATAGTTTACTCGCAAAATATTATGTTTCACAGCTGAAATAAAATAATCATTTCCCTCGAAATTCGTAAGTTACGTAAAATTGCACGAAACTTTTCAAAATTTATATTTCGAATCAAAGGAAATTATTACTTGTTACGAGAGAGTAAGTCGGCCGGTTATCTGATTGATTTTGTTTATACGACGTTGAGGAGAGCGGTTGATATGTCAGCCAGACAGACGATTGGCGATTTTTCAATACGTCGAGACGCATAAGTACCACTCTTGAAGTCGTCACTGCACTACGGCAATGATTCTATTATTAACTTAGGCGTAGATTACAGCCGTGTAGCGGAGACCTTGATTATAAACGCGTACATAACAGCTGTTCCATTGTACGAGTATCAAACAACACATAGATTTATGAGCACACTTCTTCTCATCGCTTCCTGTTTTTCGAACACAACGCGTCACGCTGGAGTTTAATCCTCAACAACAGGTCGTTGAAACGTCTTTTTCTTCCGTTTTTCCTTCTTTTTAACATTCGTTTTCCATTCGTTTCGTCACTTCGACGACGAGATTTGATTTTTCATTGTTGACTGTTATGTAACTGTTTTATTGGTGATAAATAAGCTATATTTACGTAAAATATATTACATAAACATATATATATATATATGAAATACATTTAACATGATGAATTTTGCATAATTATCGTAATTATTATTCTCTCTTTCTTATATTTCGTCTCGTTCGATATTGCACAATCTTGCGAAAAGGTCTTAAATCGAAATAATACAATTTTTCGCGATCTTGTAATTTTCAAAATTGATGCGGTATTGTGTTGAGTTTCAAATTTAAATTATATTTAATGATTTCTAAAGAAGAGGAAAAATTTTTAAAAGATTGACTACATTGAAAATCGAGTAGAAAGAGTTAGACTCAAGCACGATGGAAACATAAGATGCAACCAGTTTCTAACGGCTTTCACGAGAATCGCTCATCGAGTTCCTTATGTCATCCAAACTTCTATCGATATTCGATAAAATGATAAATGTTATTCGAGAAACGTGGACAAATCGGCGACACGAGCTTTTAATCGTAATCATCGAAAGTAAAAATGATCGAAACACGTCGTAACACTTCGTTCTCTATTTGAACGAATCTACTTCGAATCTACGAAAAAGTCGAGTTTCAAGGTTCAATGACAGACCTTGTCTCGTTAGTCATGGATGCAAAAAAAAAAAAAAGGAAAAACGAGAAATCATTAGAGCAAAGCAGAGACGGGGGAAATTTCAACGGTTGAAGTTAAGAATAAATTTATTTCGATAAGTTATTTGAATGATTTGTTATTCAAAGCGTCGAATAATCGTAGCACTGTGGTGATGTATCATCGAAGACTCGTATTAATTATAATGGCTAAATATTATTCGAACAGTTTGTGGATAAAATTATAAATAAATTACTCTGAGAAGCGAGTTTATTCGAGAAATTTTAACTGATTAATTTTTGGATGGTTGGACATCATAGTTGGGCATTAACCCAATTGGAAAAGTGGCTAGTTAAAAATTAAGTTACTTTAAGTAAAAACAGCTCGAACAACATTCACTCGTAGCTGCTATAACTGCGATTCGTATAACCTCGGCCGTTTGGCACTAGTTATTTGCGGTTATTCGATGCTTTGAAATGTAATAAATTTATTATGAAGCAACTTATCGAATTATTAACTTTTATCTTCAATTTCAATAGTTAAAAATTTTCTCTGCACGAAACGAGACTCGGCCAAGTTTCTGGATACGACGCGTGACGAATATTTCCCTTGGAATTTGTTTCGAAGTGAAGAGGGTCGCTAGATCATTTCACTCGTTGATTGGTCGATGCTCTCTGTAACATGTGACCCAGCTTTTCGGTTTTTTCTCAATGCCTCCTTTTGTAGTTGGACGGTTATTCGAACGGTGATTCAAAATCGAAAGGAAAGAACGATGTTTCGAGTGAAAATAAATGGTGGAGCGATTCTATGAAGTAAAGTGATTCTTACGAGATTTATTGAGACACTGAATCATCTGGAAAATTAATATTTTTTTTTTTTTTATAGCTGAGCGTAATTGAGTATTGTTTGTTATTTAATAGGATAAATGAAAAGATTGAAAACGTATGAAAATTAGATGGTAATAATAGATAATTATTATATGTGTCTATTCGACGAACAGTGAATTTTTACGAGACACGGAATCGATCACGAAAATTAATATTTTTTTTTTTTTTAATAGTTGCGCGTAATTGAGCAATTAATTGTTTGTTATTCGATACGATGAAAATTAGATAATATACAATATATAATTATCATATGTTCAATATACGATAAATATATTTCGAACAAGTGTTATTAACTAAAATGGATTTACTCAAAATCCATCGTTCTTTGAGAATTTTATTTTGTTGTTGTTTTCTGTCCAAGATATTTTATTTTGTTTATCTCGTTACGAAACCGTTCTTAAAAACTGTAATTCTACGTTAAACGTAAACAAGTAAGCGGGTAATTAATATCATGAAATATCCTCACGAAGAAAATTAATTCTAAAATTAATATTATGAAATCTATTATTAGAAATTAGAAACAATATAAATTTTATTGCCGGGAATTTTACATTTTCTATTTGAATCAATTTAGACCAATGTTATAATGTAATAACTCACAATTGGAAATTTTATAATCGTAATGTAGTCTGGATAATTTTGTGCGTTCATTACTGTAATATTTTATATAACATTCGTGTTATTTGTCGTTCCATACCACGCAATGTTTTCCTTATTCGTTACACGTGCGCAGTTTATTGCATGCCCGTCATTTGTACGAATAAATAAATCGACTATTTAAATACCAAAGGTGAGCGAATAAAAAAAATTAAATAAAATATTACACATTTGATCTGTTTCTTCTTCTTTCTTTTTTTTTTTTTCTTTTTTTTAATGATATCGAATTACGGATAAATATTTATTATCTATTATTACATCGAATCAATAAATACAAATTGTTACAATTTTTGAAAGTAGAAGCACGAAATATAATTATTTACTAGATTGTTACACTTCTATTTTATTAAAATAAATATAAAACGACGTCCACGATGAAATTGATTTTTAAACTTTAATTTAATTTTTTCCTAGATATCAAAACTTTATGAAACTGTTCAATTATTTCAAAAGTTCTTTTTTTCTCTCCAGGTTATTTAATTTCTGCAACACGAACCCGTATAAAAGTTGTTTTTTTTTTTTTAAACTACCATGATCAATTAAAACAGCGATTGTTTCGTGGAATAATTGAATTTTTAATAAAACTTTTTATTTATTCATTTTTTACAAATTAATAACTACATTATCTACAAATATATCCAACTCGTTAATATAATTAACTCAAATTATTAACATATTGATGTCGTATATAATATAAATTTTTAAAATGCAACAACGAGACGTGTCAGTGTCGAATTAAATTTCGACCAAATCGATGACTGAAACGTTTTGTAAGCCTTCTTCTAAGCCAAGGGGTCGACCCTAAAATGTAGGACACATCGATTTCGTTTGATGCTAACCCTCTTCCGTGATTTTCGTGCTCGTGAGAAATATACGAGATATTAGGATACACCCCAGGAAGATTGAAAGAAGAAATTTAAAGTTCTTTTTTTTTTTTTTGCTTTAGCAATCCAAGGGCGTCACGGAACATGGCGGAGAAACAACGCCGAGACAATCTTAATACGAACATCTCGGCGATGGCCGCGCTTGTGCCCACTGTCGCCGAAAGCCCGAGGAAGATGGACAAGATATCTATCCTGAGATTAGCTGCTAATTTCCTCAGAATACGATACAGTATGATATATTTCAATTCGTTACTTTTACAATCTTGAGAGAGATGAATTTCTGATTGAAAGACTCGGAGATGAAATTAAATCTTTTAATTTGAAAAAAGGATCGTTTAAAGTTTTAATTTCACATTTAAAGTGTTGAGATTGTTTTATTATACAAAATATATGGCGCAACTGATGAAAAGATTAATAAGATTTACTTCTTAACATCTTTTTTAAATTTCAAATTATTGTTGTTATTTTGTTATATTCATATTATATTAAATGGTTTTAGAGAAGTCAGATGAATCGAGAAATATACAATTGGCCTCCATATAATTAAATTATATATTTATTTGAATTGTGAAAAGAGAAAGATCCTTTCTTTATTTTATCTCGATTGAATCGTTTTAATTATTATTCACTAGTTCATCATTTGTGCATTTTCAGCCGTTGGACGTGGCGTATCTGAGTTTCTACCTCGAGAACTTGGCGATCTGGATTTGGAACAGTACATAGGCGATGTGAGTAGACGAGAGTAAATCGATTCGATCCTGTTATCCTTGCACACGTTAAAAATCATTTTTTGTTAACCGTAACAGAATTTGATCAAAAGTGGGAGCTTCTTTATTGTTGTCACGACCACAGGAAAAATAGTATACGTCAGTCGGCAAGTTCAAGAGCATCTTGGCCATACTCAGGTAAACATTTTATCTTGGGCGTGTTCCTTTTATTTTATATTTACATTTGTCGAAAAAAACTTTGCAAGATTAAAATCTAATTGCTTCTTTGGTGATATTCCAGATATTTGAATATTGAAAGTTTTTTGTGATATATCAAATTATAAATTTTTTTCAACACTGCTTATCAATCTTTTACTTTTAATATCTATTTTTAGATTCCATTATTTACAATAAATTAAAAGTTGGATAATGTTAAAAAAAAAAAAAAGAAAAAAGAAAAAAAACAATGGATGATGATTCTTCATCTTTCCACTTTCTCTTCTTTTCTCTTTTATCCATTTCTTTACCCTTTCTACATCATAACCCTCTTTCTCACGAAAAGTTTCCTCGCTGTAAACCCTCTAAGATAGTCTGTCCAATCCATGCTCTCTAAAACTTCCGCTCTGCTCGCCGTCCTCTCAAGCTTCACCCTCGTCCCACGCCTCGTCCGTCCTTAAAAATACACTCACCCTCGCTTAAAATCACACGTAAAACGCCCACAGACACGCAATCGTGTATTTATGCTTCCATTGTTTTATCAATCTTTGCGATCGTTGCATTGTTCGTTTCATCCCCAACTGGTTTGTATTCTCCAACTTATTTTTATCTTATTACTAAATTCTTAAATAATAATAAGTTTACGCGTTTTAATTCGAGCCAGAAAAGAAAATATAATATAATATTTTAAATGTGAAAAACTGTTAAAAAAAAAAAAAAAAAAGAAGAAAAATCAACCGTGAAATAGGATATTCATCCCAATTTGATACAAAACCGCAAAGGTATATACTTTACCCTTTGTTTTAAAATATCAAATCACATTCGTGATACGTATTACCGTTTTCTTACTCGACGAAAGCGGATTACGTTTCTAACAAGAAACTTTATTTTCACTTCGAATTTTAATTTTATATTTCTTTTTTTTTTTTTATATTATATTTATATCTTTTTTTGTCATTTAAAAAATTTATCTTTACACGACAAGATATTATTTTTGTTTAACATAGTTATAAAAATATTATTTTTCTTCCTGGTTTTTCAACGATCAATGATAAAATGATGATAAACACTTTTGTTTCTCGTTATGAAATTTTTCTCTGCGAGATTAATTCTTCTTCTGAAGCAGTGCTTCAATAGTGTTCCAATTGCAGTTGCAATTGAAACATAACTCTTTCCAAGGGTTCCAAATTATCGATCAAACGAACCAGGCCGCCATGCGTAACTATTCTGCACCTGCAATATTTTTTCAACGTCAATCAAATCTTCCTGGAAATTTGCATAGATTATTCATATTGTTTCGTGGAATCATTTTTATTAACATTTAAGGTGTAAGGGTGTTAATTCGGTGTAAGGGAGATAAAAAATATAACTTTTCTAAAAAATAAAATTGGATAAATAAAAGATATTTATCTAGTTCATTTATCTAATTATTTCAAATCTTTAACATGTTTTTCTAATATTTCACAAATATATTTAAAGTGTAACTTTAATATACGAAACTTTTGCTAAAATTTTATCAAAAATATAAAAATATTTAATATTTTTTAATTATATTTATTAATTTATAAAAAACAACAAGTCACGATCAAGTCAGCAAAAAATTGTTATTAATTAAGTATTTTTCATATGATAAAAGTACATACTAATATGTTTTTTTTTTCTCCAAGAAAAACAACAAGATGAAAGATATTCTATCTTATATCTTTTTCGATTCATCGATTTTTTATTATTATTTTTTTTTTTTATTCCTTATTTCGTTATCTTATTATATTCTTTTTCCATCCTCTATTTATCATTCATTTATTGTTCGTGTAAAGAATAACCAGTTAACTACGTGATCCGAACTCGATTTTCAATCGAATTGTTTGTCGCACGTGTACGGACCCGGATTATTTCGAATGGAATCAATAGGATTTAAGCAGATACAAATAATGCGATGTATGTATGCATTTAAAATAAATAAATAAATAAAAAACAAGAAACAAGAGGTAAAAAATTAATAGAAGCATCGTGTACAAGTATATTATTTCGTCTAGGATAGCTGAAACGATAGATAAGAAATGTTCGCCATTTCAACGATAAGCGAATTATTTTTCAGAAATTGTTCACAAGAAGATGTTTTCTTTTTTTTTTTCTTTTCTTTTTCTACTCGTATATCATCGCCTCGAAATGTCATCAATATTCATTCCGTTTTCATTTCCATACGACGTTAAAAAGTAATAGAGAATATCAGATCAAAGATATTTGCTGTATTCTTTTCTGTTCGCAATGATTTTTGTTTACAAATTGTTGAAACGAATGTTATTCAATTTTTGATTCATCGAAGAATGTTATTATATATTTTTCAAAGAATAAAATGATGAAAATTTAATTATCGTGAAAATTTTGAGTCTTGATTTTTTACTTGTTCTCTTTTTCTTTTTTCATTTCCTCTATATCGCCAAGTGTTCTCGAGTTTAATAGAATCGTAGAATGCCCATACAACCAGTCGACTTTGCTTCGTTATTAACTTCATAACTGGTGCCCTCTAAGTCGAGAAGCGCGCGCTAGAGAATAACGAATAAAGTTCCTCTGAAACTTTAGATCACGATATTTCGGTAATTACGAAAACTCGGATTGAGAGTATTCTTAAAACGGAATTTAAGTTCGACTATCCTTCGTTTTCGTTCTATTCTTTGAAATTTTAATAATATTAATATGTTCAATATATGTTTTCATTATATACTGTAATATTACAAGATTAAAGTTATTATAACACATTTAAAAACGTGTTTTATTAATTTGTTAACTGTTTACACATTAAATGTTTAAGTTGTCTTACAAAAATAAGAGATAATAAGAGATAATACTCGTTGTAATAAATTGTCATTTCTTCGTAACGAGTATAAAAGCGTACAGATAAGAGGTTAATTTAAATTTTTCAATCAATTTATGATAAATGGTTTTACAAATCCATCATTTTGTATATCAGGCAAAAGAAAACGAGATCGAAAATCTCTTTGACGAAAGAATAGAACGATGAAGACCACACTCCCGAACAATCGAAAGACAAAAAGTTATATCGATCCACGTGGTTCCATAGAAACTGTCATGGCGTTCCATATTCGAGCATAACGATAATTCGATGCTCGAGCATAATGAACTTGCTTACTAACGTTCGGTTGAGTTATAACTTCAGAGTGTAAGAATATACCAGGACGAAACGAGGAAGAAACTCGGTGACAAAAGATAGGGAAGATCGAAGAAGGAGAGAGACACGAGAAGGAGAGACCAGGAAGGAAGAAAATAAGAGAGGAAAAGAGAAAGAAAAGAATGTGGAGGCGGTGCGGTGAGTTGTTTGCGCGGGATCCACTAGGTTTTTTAAGGAGATACTCACAATCAGTCGGTATTGTTCTCAAGGAGAAACTCCCTGTGGTGAAAATGAGCCTCGTCGCCGACATGGTGCACCGTGTTCGTCGCGATTAAATCGCAACAAATCGAAGTCAAGATGCAGAAATGACTAGGAACGTGTGGATCTAGTAGTGTCAGCTTCCTACGATCAGTCATCGAAAGTTTTCGTGAAATTTAATGGAGTCGGATTTCGAGTTTGAGAAAGTTCGTACGTTGTGATTGATTGCGATTGGAGTTGAATTTTAATGGCCCAGAGACTGTTAATAGTTAAAGTTAAATTTTAGTTTTAATTAAGTACTTGCATAATCTAAAATTTTGATTCTAGGTATACGTAATCCAAAGATGTCAATTGGAATTGAATATCAAATTAACACGTTATTTTAATCACATCTTCTTATTCTTTATTGAGATATTTTCCCCCATCTTAACCTTTCTTTTTCATCAAACTTGAAAAAAAAAAAAAAGAAAAATAATCAGTGAAAGATCACTCTTCTACAAAATGAACGATATATTACAGGCGGATCTACTTGGCCATTCTCTCTACGCATTCATTCATCCGAAAGATGAAGAGGAGCTTGCGAGAAACCTTAACCCGGATGAAATGCAAGGTGTGGTATCCTCGCCAGGTCCATTGCCGCAGATCACCGACGGATCGAACGACAATTCCAATTCATCGGAGGATTCAACATCTTCGAAGAATGGGAAAACGTTCCAGAATCAGAGGCGGAATTTCGAACTTCGAATGTTGCATCGTACTTCATCGAGGCGGGAGCATACACAGTACGAATGGTTCGAGTTCTCTGGAATGCTCAGGCTTGCGGATGCTTGCAAAAATTCCGCGTCAAATGTTAATCGATCGAGACATCGAGGTAATGATACATAACAATGTCATTTGCTAATAACATTTTATTATATAGTTATAATAGTTAAAATTGTATTAAAATAGATGTATGCTATATTTTTTTAAATTAATCGTTCAAATTATAAATTGAAAAAATTAATGAAAAACTTTGAGTTAAACAAAAGACTGATCATTTCATTTTTTATTTATTTATTTATTTATTTTTTTTTTATTAGAAATTACTTCAACCAGTAACGACATCGTTTTCGTGGGTGTAGCACAATTATTGATGAAGCAGCCACTCACGAAAATTTCAATAATAGATGCTAATAAGAACGAGTATATCACTCGACATTTGGTAGATGGCAGGATCATTTATTGTGATCATAGGGTGTCAGTTGTGGCTGGATATTTATCGGAAGAAGTATCGGGTATGAGTGCTTTTGGTTTCATGCATAAAGATGATCGTATCTGGGCGATGGTTGCACTTCGTCAAAGTGAGTCCAAATATTTTTATCTTATAATTTTTATAGTTATAATTTTTTTAATTTACATGTTAATAATTATGTGTTTTATTCTAATTCACGTGATTTTTAATTGTTTGAACAATTAATTTACAGTGTACGATCGCGCGGAAACTTGTGGATCATCTTGTTATAGATTAACATCAAAAACAGGAGAACCCATTTATCTACGCACTCATGGATATTTAGAAGTAGATAAGGATACACAAATTGCAGTATCCCTTGTATGCATAAACACATTAGTATCGTAAGTTTTGCGATATGTTAATGACTGTTTCTTTTCATCTTTTCATCTTCTTTTGTAAATTATTATTCAATATTGTTTTGTAATTTCTTTATAGGGAAGAAGAAGGAATACAACTTATGCAACAGATGAAAAAAAGATTCTCGGCTACGATTTCTGAAACCATGAGAGCCATGATCCAAAATGGAGATGATGCATCTATTGATTTGGTAATTTATTTTATAAATTTGTATGTGATGAATAATATAAAATAAAACTTAGTCAAATATTAAAATGAACATTAAAAGATAATTAGGAACATTATAATTTATTACAGGGTTCAGACTCTCAAAATCCAAATTCGAAAAGTAACATGGAGGATCCCGCACAATTAGAGGACGCTATCACATATCTAGTTAGTGATCTGTCATCACCCCTTCCGGAAGATTGTTTGTCACCTCCTACACAAAATGAACAGTATGCGAAAGCTGCTATGATATCACAACATTTACCTCCTGCTGAAGCCCAAGCTCGAAGACTTGGAATTAAGAAAATCGATCATTATTTAATGGTGCAAGCCAAGACAAATCATAATCAGAAATCAGAGTCAAAGACAAATAATAATAAGAATAACTCTAATGAGAGACAAGAAAACACGAGATCGTCAAGAAAAACTGTACATGAAGTTACGAAACAAACACGTAATAGTACACAAGATGAACAGAATTCATCACGAACTAATAATATGTCTAATGTAGAATCATGCGTAAATATTCAACGAAAACCTGGAATATCTCAACTTGAACTTCATCAAAATGTAGATATTTTGAATCCTAATACTACAGTTAAGAAACCTGTCGCAACAATAGAAAATAATCCATGTAACATAAAAATTGAACGTAACATGGACGTTTATACGCACGAGACAATGATTGAATACTTTGAAAAGAATACGATTGATAATGTTACTTCTGATTTGAAGGGTCATCCATATCCATTGAAGAGGATATATAGTGACGAAGATATTAAGACAGGTTGCAATAAAAAAAGACAGTATAATAATGTTCCTTATGCATCATCGGATACAAGCGACGAACAGAATGTCTCTTACATTGATTGTAAGCCTTTCGTTGACGAAGAATTTTCAGAACTTTCAACGGATTTCAACAATATAAATCCTCAGTCACTAAAGATTGCTGAATCGCCAAATTCAAGTCTAAGTGAGGTCATAACTGATTATCAGCAAGTGGATTCTAGTATACCACTTATAGCTCCAAATCCTGAATTGGAACCGGAATATGGCGATCTTCAGGACAATGCATTGCTGAGCCCAGACCTGGAAGCAAATCCAGGTACCGAACTCAGTACAGTAACCCTGCATCTACAAACGAAGTAAACAACTAAATTTTGTTTATTGCAAAGTAGTGGGTGGTACTTTTTCATTCAAGATATCATATTTATTTATATATATTTATTTATACATATTGGTATTATTCTCTTAATATACACAAAAGTTTTTTTTATAAAATATATGCATATGTGATTTTTCTTTTCATATCTTTTGTATTTTAATTTTTCTGATTTTCATAAACTTTTTCGGTTTAAATAAATGTTTGAATTTCATTTTACAGAACTGATAATGAAAATATTTGATGACCTAAGGCATATACCAATTCTTGAAAGTAAGTATATACTTATATACATGTTTATTAAATAGAATTAATTAGAAAATACTAATAAGATTTATTAATAAATTTTTTTTAATATTTTAGATACTTTTAATGAAACAGAAGTACAATTAACAGACAATATGGTAAGTATAATTTAATAGTAATATTATATTAATAATACAAGGCAATCATCACATTAATTTTATAATAGGTAATCAATAAAGAAATAAGGAAAAAACATCTTCAACTTATGAATAATATAGCACGCCAAGAATCACAATTGAATGTTTTGGCACGAGACTTCAAAAATCCAGCTTTACAAGCAAAAAGAGGAAGTTTAACGCCATTAGAGGTATGAAAAACAATTTTTAGAAATAAATATTATTAATGTATGTTATTTAAAAAATTTAAAACACAATTATTATGAATTTTAGGTAGAACATAATATGCAGAAACAAATTCTTGAGACTTTACAAAAAGATCACATGCAAATAAATATAAAACATAATATTGGTGTATAAAAATAAAATTCGGAGTTTGGAATTACTTTTACCAAAATATTTCTTTGGAAGATAATTATTCTTAAGAAATATACAGTTGACAAACAAAAGTGTGCATATAATTGCACATTAAATATTTCATTGAAGTTTATTACAACTTATTCCTCAACCAATGATAACTAATGAAATACTAAGAAGAACGTAACAATCTGCAATTGCATAATAATCGATTTATATTACAATTCATCAAAGGAAAGATAATAATATTTATTATCAAAGACGTTTAGTGAAAATGTAGTGTTGATTAAGAGAACTTCAATATTCTGTGTTTTTAAATTGAAATAAGAAGAAGCATCATAAGTAGACAATGTATAAAATAATCAAGATGTATATTTTACATCATATTCATGGAGACTTTTTGAAAGTCTAATGTGAACATTATACATCGCCATGTTTGGCGCACATATAAATACATATATTTCAATAACTGCTTGAAACATATACGTAAATTGTATTGTATATGATGGGCACGTTTTACAGTTTTGAAGGTCCAATGTTGCGCAGTTTTCAAATTTTATCATAATTAACTTTTATATAGCGTTAAGCCAATTTTAAGCGGCTATGCTATTTATTTAGCCTCCAGGACTGTTTGTGCTTGGCTATTGTTCTCGATTGAGAATGAAAATTATCTCTACGTCGAATGACTATGATATGTATATGTACTATATATATCGGATGGATACAGTACCAGTTCTGTTTAAATCCTATTAATTATTGGAATTCAAAATTATACTAAAAAAAGCAAGTTTGTAGTACAAAATTTCCGTTTTAGACAAAAAATATGCTTATAAAAAACATATTATAAAAAGAATATTAATTATATATAATTGTACCTTTTTACTATTGTTACGTGAAATAATCCTAATTGATTGGATTGACAAATTGACTGTCTCGATTTCTATCGATTTCTCTTTTTTTTTTTAAACTAATTTTGAAAATTGTGTGAATTGTTATTATTTCTTTGTATATTTACATGCATTATTTGTAACATACATATGCACTTTTAAGCATTTTACTTATTGACTTGTTATCTTTTTTTTTTTTTTTAAATATATATTTCATTGGAAGATAATGGTAATTAAAATTATCATTTTTTCATAATGAAATTTTTGAGAGAACTTGGTATTTTATACGTTATATTTCGTGATTGTAATTATTTTGTTATAATGAATTTTTAGACTTTACTGGCCTTGTTATCCACCCAATACCGTGTTGCTTTATATTATTTTATTAATTATAGTTAAGCTTTAGTATCTACTATAAGTAATAAAATTTTCGTGATTAACTAATATGTGATATTATTAAAAATACATATACTATTAATCACGATTTTTTTTTTTGTCTACAAATGAATCATAGAAATCATAAACAAGCATAATCAAGCAAATGAATTTACAATTCAATGTAAAAAATAAAATGTATAGAATGGAATTATGTACTGAAAAAATTATAAGAGCGCATACATTATGGATATATTCAACACATATGAATAATAGATCTATATGTATATCATTTAGTTCCAGTTTCCTATGTACAAGCATAAATAAGGCTGATAAATTGTAAATAATTCCGAATGTCTTATTGATTGGTATTAATTACCGATTGATCACTGGGTTTTTTTTTTTTGTGAATTGTTCATCATTCATTCATGTTATATATCTATTTGCAACTCGTGTGCTATTTCCCAAATACATTAAAGAGTTTTTCATGCTCTTGCGTACTGATGCGAATTATGATATCAGTAGAATTTAGAATTGTAGAATTTAAAAATGATGTTTTAATGTTTGAGCAGTCGTTTTACCCCTTTTAGCGTAATTCTTATTTTGAAACACGATGGCAAAGCATTGTAGACATGATATTATTCAAAATAATAATTATAGATTCAAATTGAGTTTGATGATTTGGCAGAAGCTATAATTATATATATATATATATATGTATTTATTTTAATTGAAAATTATTTTTGATCGATGCTTTGTACGAATAAAAATTATGAAATTACGAAAAAGGGGGATTATCTGCGTATAATTCTTATACATGTACACAACATGTTTCATTGTAAAAATGATCGTTAATTCGTTTTTATGTCATTGACATCGATGTCAAACGTATTGAGGTATATCATGTCATTTTATTTTTGTTTTTTTTCAACTAGGATTATAATATATAAATGTATAATATTAAGAAAAGCTTGAGATATAAACTATGCTCATTTTTATGGTTAAGAGGATTCGATTATCCTTGCCTCATGATTGCTCGATGTTGATAAAGATTCAAACTTTTTTATATATTATCATACTGTTAGTAAAAATATAAATGATCCCACAATGTAATTCACCTTACATTATTGGGATGTTTAGTTAAGTGAATGGCAGACTTTCCAATTTGTCATGATCATTATAGTACAAACAGCAAGTTTAAAGTGTCTGTATTTAGTGTCACTCTCTTTAATCTATCAAATTGTTCATGTGTTTTGTGATCTTTGGCATTTCAAGCCTGGCCATTGTGCTCATTGTTTTGTATGTTTCAAACTATGCATAGAAATTGTATTTCTACAATTAATTGTTATTAAACTAATTTTGTGAAGTGATCAAGATATGTAGTATCTATAATATCTTGTTAATTAAAAACATTATGATACATATAAGTGATTTTTATGTGTTTCTTGAAGCCTCGTAAATAATATCAGTATATAATTCACATCTATATAACGTTTATTGAGGGCAGTGAAAAGTGTATAATAGTTATTCAATATAAAAAGAGTCTGCTCTTTCATTAAAAAAAAAAAAAAATCAAAATCTCTGCCCGATTAGAACATAGATAAATGAGCAGAACGTGACACGAACAGATGGCACTACAAAATTCGCTAAACATTTAATCTTATAATACTGTAAATACTATCTTTATTATATTTTATACTCTGCTGTTTGCACATAAGTGATTTTTACAATTTATTTCTGTAAGTTAACATACGCGAAGCACAATTTAATACAATTGTGTTTTACATCCTTGTATATTTCTACATATATATCTTTATAAGTAAAAATGGCATCTTTCGAATTATTGTGTGGTCGAATTAAAATATTAATTTTGCAATCTACATTCTGTGCATCAAGCAATGTTAAAAAGTTTTTACATAAAGCGGTTGTCTCTTCGTAATTTTGTTTGTAAAAATGGAAAGATAGATATGAAACAATTTATCGTGTGCTCGTTTTCCGCTAAAAAAAAGAAAAAAAGAAAAAAGAAGAGAGAAAACTGAAGTAAGAAAGAAGAAGAAGAAGAAGAAGAAAAAAATGAAATTTCATGATGACAGTATTACGCTTTTGCGTAAGGTAACCGCATAGTAATATATTAATTATTTATCTTTTAAGAATAACGAAAATAACTAATAATTCAAAGTTAAAATCTCCATTATGGAATATGTGAGTCGTTTTCTATGACATGTCAGATATATCTCTAAGCTTATATTTAAGATATATTTTCACACAGTGAGTTGGAAATAGAGTCGGTTTTAAATTCCATTAATCCAATATGAAATGAATAAAAAAACGACACATATATTCGCTTTCGTGTACAAAACGAATTATCGAGCAAACATCTTTGTACAGGCTATTTTAACTTTAAAACTCGGTGCTTTCGAAAACTTCTCGAACACTGTGTACATTTTACCGTAGCTGTTAAGATATCTGCGAATGTGATTCGCATTTTATGAGCTTCTTTGAAGAGAAATGCACCACCGAATTACTTCCAACATACATTTGTATGTTGGACGAGAGCATAATAAAATGATAAGTTAATTGTTTAATTAAAACCATTATATATCATTATATTAAGTATTTACGAAGTTCACCTACGCCCTAAATATTTTTATGTTAATTTTATGCCCATTTTTTTTATCTCTATATATATATATATATATATATTTATGTTCCGTTATGAATATATTAATATTAATAAATGATAATGCTGGATTATTATCATCATCAAAGAAAATTTTCACGAAATGTTGAAAATTGTAAAAAAATTTGTAATATTGGCGGTGTATAGCTCTTCGTAGATTGCCAAAGAACGATAGAAAATATGTAATTGAATTCCGTTCCTCTGTTCTTCCAAATCGAGAAAAAGAATTGAGAGAAAGAATATTACTGTGCACGATGAGGATGATTCATGCAGAAATTTATAAAAATGTTTACAGTCGCGTTGCTCGTGTCAGCATAGAAGTTGGAACGAATGAATTTAAAAAAAAAATAATGAAAGTTTATCATACGTAGAAACATTAATTTCGAAGAATTCGTTTTCCAGTCTCTAACGAAATGAAAACGAAAGGAAACAAGTAAAATATATATTTTTCTCTTTTTTAAAATAATTATATATATCTAATGGATTGCGTTCTTGTAGTAATCATTTTCTAATTTCTGTTTTTAAATATATTTAATATGAGTAATAATTATAATAAAACGCATATATTAAGCAAGCATAAATAATGAATATGGAAAAAGGATAAATTTCTTAATATAATCGAAAGCAGAAATATAATGATTGGGATCATATACACGTATAACTTGTGTCAAGACTGAATTATCAAGACTTCGTAGAAGGTGGAACATTTTTGTAAATAATACTGCCTGAAAGAAATATATGTAAAAATTATATGAAAATTACAAAGATTACAACCCTCATTTAAATGTATTTTACTCCTAATGTCCTATCTGTTTCATAGAAGAATCTATGCACGTTCGATATATTTAATTGTTTCAATATAAAAAAAATTACAATAAGATAATAAAATATTTAAAATTATGAGTTTATATTTATTACACAACAGGATCTTAAAATAACTGCAAGACCGACCATCCTGCAAAGACAGTATTACAGACCTTATCACATTAAACATCACCATATAACTGATAGCATTTCTTCATTTATTCTTTCGAGCTGCGATCGTTTTATTGTATATGTATTTTATAATATTTTATTTGTCCCCATAAAATTTTTGTTTTTAAACATTTGTTTCTTTCTTATTTCTTTTTCTTCTTTTTTTTTCTTTTTTCTTTTTTTTTTTTTTTTTTTTTTTTGAGCATTCATCTAAGAACAAGTAAATCGTTCCGCTAAGTATATAGGATTCATTTGGATCATGAGTATTGGAAAAAGAACAACGTGGCCAACGCTTCCAAGATATTTCGCGAACGAAAGAAGCGTGTATTTTTCGAGCGTTCGAACTCGGAAAAAAAAAAACAAGGCCTTTTGTCCATTTATATACATATCTACTGAGATAAGAAAAAAAATTGATAACAAGGATTTATTCGCTACGAAAATTGTAACTAGGTGTATCTTAATTTATATATATATATATATATATATATATATATATCG